AAGAAGAGAAAATCGGCTGTGCTGTGTCGGGCCAGAGACCCTGGCCTGGCAACCAGTGTGTGAACATAACTGACAGTGGATGGAGAAATAAAAGAAAGGGGAAATACGTAGACTAAATTTGGCATGCTGGTTTGGGATTTGGTAATTAGTAACTGAGGGACTTATGGTATCCAGACCACTCTATCTGCAAGTCAGTAGTGCTTATTGCTCCATATCTGTAGTTTATCAGTATTTGTCAGTGCAAGGTCTTGGGAACTGCAACCAAATTTCAGCGTAAACCTCCAAACCTTGCATCTTAGGGTGGTTTGTATTTGTTATCACAGCACTGTTGAGATACAGCTCCCCTGGTAGGAATGCTCAAATATCCTTGTGACTGGGACTCCCAGTTGTAACCAAGAACCTAACAAAGGCCCTCCACTACAGGAGACTGACACATATTCAACAAATGCTGGCCACCTGACCACCTCAGATGGATTCCAAATTCCTGTGGGTTTAACAACTTCCCAGTGCAATTAGTTTAAATAAGTTCCCAGCTTTTTCTTTACTGAGGAGTCCATATGTGCCATGGGTAAAAAGTGACAGCAAGTTCCTGTGCTCCTGGTGGAAATTCTTAAATTGACAGAATTGCAGAGACTAGTAGGCTTTAAACAGGATAGTACTAACATTATGACTCCATTTTTTTTTTAAAGATACTTTCTGTATAAAAGCTGCAGAGGCAGGAACTCATTTACTGTTGCCCTGGCAGGTTGCTTTGTTTCAGGTGTTGCCTCCTTTCAGGTGTCACTTATTGTCTCAGGTCTTACTTTGGTGGGACTGTTGGGAGTCCCTTTGTAGTATTTGTTACTTCATTTAAATTTCAGTCACTTTCTTTATGATTTACATATATATATAATACAGAAAGTATCTCCATAAATTAAGGCTGACCTAATTTTTTTTTTCTTTTCCAGCATGAAAGAATCCACTAAGCGGGGAAAGTAATTTTTTTTTTTAATGCCAAAATTAACTTATTGGTGGCATCTTGAGGGGTAATAGAGAAGAGCAAATGCTCATTAGGGATGAAAACGTCACTGTGCAATTCTCCTTGTGTGTTCCCTCCAGTGTTCTGTTCCTAACCCAGCTCAGAGTCATTGCTCTGAAAACTAAAGGTGTTCTGTTAAAGGTACATCAATATGGTTGTTTGAAGGATATGCCATATTTTGTTTTGTAGTTGGTTTTTTTTTTCCCTCTGTGTCCACAGCTGTAAGAAATGAACTTTTCACCTTGCTTTGTCTATTGGTATGCACATGTACTTGTAAAGCCCGGAGAAGTACAATATTAAAAATCACATCTCTACCTGTGTATTCAGGAGAATGCCAAGGGAACAAAGATGCTTTATTTATCATGTCCTTGGTGCGATGGGGTTCAAATTGCTGAACTCTGAAAGTCTCTATCTCATTTAAAGCACAGCAACATAATGTGTTTAGAGAAAACTTTGCTGATGGCATGTGGGAAATGGCAGGGACTGGCTCGTAGTTCAGAGCTGTCAGGCAGTGTGGAGGTTTTGGAGTGAGCTGCTTTGCATAGGTTTTTGGGGCACTGCAGAGAGCCAGTAGTGCTGGTTGGATTGAGACCAGCACCCTTGGCACCTGGGACACACCTGCACTGTCTGGGCATGGTTTGAGACTGCTCTGAGAGTAATGGGAGGCTTTTCTTCTAGGGGACAATCTTACATTTGGTGGCCCTCACATTAAGATATTCCTCAAACATTTTTGACTCCTTAATAACTACAAATACATTTGGATCTTCCAATTGTGGCCATCACCTGCATTTTGTCACCCAATATGGGGTTTTCCTACTTCCTACCTCTGTGGTATTTTAACTATTTTATGAATGTGGTGCCCACAGTTGCAAACTCAGAGCCTGTTCAATGATTGAAGTACAAGGTGTTGGAACATCCTGGGGCAGGATGGCTTCTAGTGCTGCTAACACTACATCCATTTGTTGCAACAGATGTTGTATCCACATGTTGTAAATGGGGAAATGGAGGAAAAGAGATTCACCCACATAGGCTGGAAAACCTGATTTTCAGACTCCCATGGCAGTGATATTTCTTTTAATCCATATTTCTTTTCCCCCACACTATTCCAATGCACCATAGAGAAATTTTTCAAAGCTTTCTACCAAAGGTTCTACCAAAAAATTATGCTTACAGCATACACAGGATTACATCCAATGATGTAATGATATAGTAGAGTGGTGAATTCCAAGTTATTCACCTTTTGCCTGGAATTTGTTTGTGAATTTGGGTAAAATGATTGCTATTTGTTTACTCATTGTCTCGTCTGAAGGAGAAAACACCCGGTTTGTGTTTATAGGCTCACTGGGTTTGAGTCATCACTGTTTAACTCACCTTTCAGGCTCCTAATGCATTGAAATAATGAGGAGGTATGGTAAAAGGAATTTGCCACATGTCTCATAGGGAATGCAGTAATCGACTTTGTCCTACAAGATGCTGAGCTCTCCTTAGGAAGTGCTAACAGCACCCTTATCTCCCCATACCTTGCACGAACTCAGGAATGTGTTCTAGCTAAAGCAAAGCATTGAACTTGTTGATCTCGAGTATGTTTGTCTGCATAGGATTAAGTGTTGCTATCTGGGCCTTCTCCCTGCTGATTTAATTAGGTCTCCCAGCAAGGATGCTTTGATTAAAAACACCTTTCAGCTATTTGGCTGGGAAACTGATAGCAAAAACCCACGTGATGCTGCACTGAGCCAAATGTGCTTCTGCGAAGAAGGCTAGCAAATGTACTTCACAATTTTTGCATACCAACTTGAAACTAATAGATTTATGGCGACTTAAAAAACTTCTCATACTTATTCAGACTTAAACTGTGAAATTCAGCATCCTGTCCAGATTAGCATTCGTAGAAATTCCTATAGTTTCAGAATCTCTTCTTCAAAGAAGAGGTAGTGACTTTTCCTCAAAAGATTTCTGTGCCTTACTTTGAAGTGATGCTGGTGTGGGATTCCCAGTGATTTCTCCATCTGGAGCAGTGAAATTGAGTGTCAACTTCCACCTGTGTTACTTGTCCTGCATTAGTGATGTTCCTTAGAACTTGTTGCAACTCCTGTGAGTTTTCCTCATTGACTTTGGAGGTCTGTGGATCTCAGTTAGCTGTTGCATTTTTCAAGAGCTCTCACTGAAGTGCTCTGCTCTGCAAAACTCGGGTTGCCTGTTTGAGCAGGAAGCAGTGAATTTCTGTACTGAGGAAAGGAGTATCCTTCGAAGTGGTAGATTTGATCCTGCTCTTGGTTTTGTTTATGGTTGTTTTCCTCTCCCTTCCTCAGAGGAAATGAAATTCCTTATTTTTGTGCTCATATCCCTGCCATAAATGAGAATGTTCATCCCTGTCTTTTCTACTCAATCTAACCAGCAACTTTGCTTTCTCGGTCTGCTTCTGGATTCTGTGGTAGTTCTCAGTTACCCCATGACAAGATATTCATGTCTGTTCTGAAGGCACAGTCAGACCAGGCACAAGAACGAGTTTGCTGAAGTTCAGAAAAAGTAAGTATTCAGGTTGGAGGAAGTGCAAGGGTGTCATTAGGCCAAGTTAAGCTCTGAATTTCAGCCTCTCGAAACCTACTTAGTCTGGGAAGTCTGCTGTGAGTTTTCAATGCCCAAGCAATATCTCTTGAATGAAGGTGATCTAAACTAGGATGAGTGGTTTTTACTGTTGGTCCATTTGCTTATTTCAAAGTTTTCAGTTCTGGTGATATTTACCCTGTGTTAGCCAAATTATTGCCTGAAGTACTTCTGTTGTTTGTTTTAATTCTGCTCTACTTATGGGTGTATTTAGCTCAGCATGTTTCACTGGTATAATTTCTTTTAGGACATAACAGGATATTTCCCCCATGAAAGCCAGTCAGTTGGGAGACATTAAAGTGCTACTTCTGCTCTGTAAAATGCCTGTTTCCTACAACTCTGCCTGTTGAGTTTCCCAGTGAGGACTGGGTCCTACTTTGCTTGCCATTCTATAAATACAGGATGCTAAAGCTCTGGTTCCCTTTCAGACCTCAAATGCAGCATCTGATCCATGAGCCTGGTGGGGTTTTCAGGTGTCAGAGCAAGCAGGCTGCTGCAGGGAGTACCACAGGGCAGAGAGCAGCAGGTACCTCTGTACTGCTCTTCAGCCAGCTCTGCCCAGGGCTGCTCAGGTTGCTCCCAGAGTGTAAAATTCTGCAAGTTCTACAAAGATAAAGTTTCCCTAGTGTTTCCCTGAATAATTATTTGAGAGCTGAGTCCTAAAGTAACACATTGTGTTTAATCGAATAGCTTTTTCTTGCTCTTTGAATTGTGTATAATACAATTCTTATGTATCATCATTGTAGCAGGATGTTCTTATGAATGTATCAGGACTTAAAACTGCTGTTGTGTTCCCTTAGCAATGCTTGACTTCCACTTAGAGTAACGTGTTTAGTGTCTGAAGTGGAACCTCTTGATGTTTTGGTCTTGTCTAGTGCATCTTCTTGACCACTGACAGCACGTTTGACTGGGATTAGAACTACCATTCCGATGTTATAGGTAGAGAAACTAAGAAACAGAATGGAAAAATAATTGCCCATCACTGCTCTGATTAGAAAAGAAATGGTGCTGTGGTCCCCTTTCTGTTCTTTCCTTCCACAGCTCTCCTTTATTTTCACTCCCTGGAGCTTCACATCCCTGTTAGCTCTTGCTATGTTGTATTTTTCTGCCTTAGGTAAACCAGGTGCTCTCTACCAAACATTAGTTACCCAATATCTAGTCTTGCAGTAGAAGGAGAAATAATAGACTGAGGTGGTGAACCTATGAGATGTTTCACCATCAGGGTAATGATGCAGTGTGGAGTAAGTTGAGTTCAGTTTGTTTACATTATGGGTAACATCCATAATAAAAAAATCAGGGCAGGACATTTAGGGTCTTAAAAGGAGACAGGTGTGATTAATGCTAGCTGTGGTTTCCTTTCCCTTTCTGCATCTTGCAGGACAGTTTTGCTGTGGATTCTTCGTGATCCTGATCCTGGGCAACTTCTGGTTCCTTGCTGTGCTGTATCTGCTGTGGCTCTACCTCGACTGGGAAACACCATGTGCTGGGGGCAGACGGTCCCAGTGGGTCAGAAGCTGGACTGTTTGGAAGTACTTCAGGGAATACTTTCCCATTCACGTGAGTAAGAGGTTTCTCACAGAACTGTGAATATTGGAACAGAGGCAGCGTGAATAGCCATGGGCATGGACAACCGTCTAAGACTCATCTTTGGTAAAATTCTAATACTTACTCCAGGGTGAACTTAACTTCTTTTTAAAACATAGGAAATCTGAGATTTAGTGACAAAAAGGGACAGGGCCCGGTTTTCTGCTTGGACTGTTGGGTCACAAGGTAGTGCCTCAGCACAGTAAATGCTAGACGTGATATACTGAGACACATCTATTTAAACTTTGTTTATCTGTAAAATGGGACAATAGTTTAAAGTGCTCATAAGGAGACGAATTGTCATTGGTTCTGTGTCCTGTCAATGTGCAAACTTGTTGTTTTTGAGGTATTATAATGTCCTCCGCTGACTCTATTTTTCAGCTGATAAAAACTTCAGATCTGAACCCAAATCACAACTACTTACTTGGCTTTCACCCTCATGGGGTCCTGGTAGCTGGAGCCTTCGGAAACTTTTGCACCGGTCCAAGTTTCAAAAATTTATTTCCTGGGCTTACTCCGTATCTTCATATCATGCCCATCTGGTTTGGCTGTCCCTTCTTCAGAGAATACGTAATGAGTGCTGGTAGGTAAAAGCAGAACCTCTCAGCTGTTCCTCCATGTTGTAGCTTCTGCTTCAAATGTAGGGTCTGTTCCTCCACTTATAAAGGTAAGTAATTTCACTTCAGAAGAATCAGTGTTGGTGATAAATTTAAGCTGTATTTTATGATCTATTGTATGCAAGAAGACAAGGGCATAATAACTTATAATGTTATTTAGTCACTGAGCAGGCACTTGTGAAACAAATTCAGGCTAATCTCCTACCTGAAGGGCTTAAAGTCTTACTCGTCAGAAATATCTTTCTAGTCAGATCTTTATTACTTGCTTCTGACTGAGGTCCCATATTACAAATTTGTGTAGTTTTAATTGAGATGTAAACTCTAAAGGCAGGAACATTTTTTTCTCTGTTCTGAGCAGCGCTTATCATACTGGGGTGCTAGTCATGACTGGTACTGCAGTAATAAAAAATAAGCATTAAAGTTGGGGGAACAGAAGAATAAGTCATGAAATCAGGAGTAGTATTCTTCCACAGTGGTTTAATACAGGACTTATTTTACTTAAATTCACTCAACTAAAGCATTTGTGTGTGGTCTGATGCACAAGACTAGGTTTGGAAGACAGAGATCTAACTTTATTCCTGACTCTAACACAGTGGTGTGATCTCAATAAGCTGCTCCATTCATAGAAACAGGCCTAGGGTGTTGTTCAGATTAATATCAGATTTACATATCTGCATATAGATCAACATAGCAGAGAATGCCTTTCCAGACAAATGTTATTTCTGAGGAGATTGAGGCTTGCAAAGTGAAGGATTGGCAGTGGTAGAATATGACAATTTTAAATATTGTCTGCTTAAATATTGTCTTTTAAACCCTGTTCAACTTCCTAGGCTACTCCTCTGGGTGGCCAGCTCTCAAAACGAGGTTACAGTGATTTTTCCTTTTTTATGAGATTTTTATAGTCCACATTGTAATGTCCCTGGTAGAAAAACACCCAAGAGAGTAACAGGACATCCAAAAGAGTGCATTTTGATACCAGCTCTGGAAAACCAACCACAACATCGATTAGACTTGATCTCTAAATTGTCATTTGGATTATATTAATTCAACACGGTGTATTTAAACATGGCTTCTTGGTAAATGGTACTACTATGAGCCTTTGAAGTAAACATTAGGGTGCAAAGGAACTCTGGAAAGGTTAGGTGAGTATCTGTTAGAAAGGGGATTTTTCAAAGCACCAAGATCTAAGTCACTGACAAAGGCTTGTACAGCAGTGTGCTTCTGAGTGGGAGTACCACAAAAGCTTCATGTAGTCTGTTATTTTAGCCTAAATAGGTTGGTGAGTGCCAGGGCCTGGTTACTAGAGAATGAGCCCCTGCAGTCACTGGGAATGGTACAAGTGAATCTTTTCTGCTTCTTCTAATGCTGTCAGGCCATTGCCTTAAATGGAGCTGCTGCTTTATAGCTTTGAAAAGAATGAAGGGGATCAGCTTGGCACTGTAGCTCGGTGTTTGAGTTAACAAGTCCTCTATTCATTCTTTTAACCCCTCTGTGCCTGTGTTTATATGCACCTGCTGTATGGCTTTAGCTGCTGCTGCCTCTTGACAGGATCTGCTGCCATTGAACTCCTCTGTTCCCAGGCACAGAGTCTCTCTGAGGGGGAGTTAACTTGGCAGAGCAGCACACTGAAGAACTCAATACTCTTGCAATAGTCATCAGCACTTAGCTCATGAGTGTGAATCAAAGGACTTGCCTAAGACCAAATTTGTTGCAGAGGGAGGAGTTGAACCCAAATCTTTGAACTCTATCCTGTGCTGTTATAATTTTGAAACACAGTCGAGATATTTAAAAATATTTCCTAAATTCCATTCTACTTATACATGAAGATCCAGTGGTCACTCCTAACATGTTTTCTCCTGAAGGAATGGTTTCTGCATCCAAAGAGAGTGTCTCCTATGTGCTGAATAAAAAAGGAGGTGGCCACGCATCCGTCATTGTGATCGGAGGAGCAGAGGAATCTCTGAATGCACATCCTGGAAGTCTGACACTGAACATCCTCAAGAGGAAGGGCTTTATTAAAATGGCCCTGAAACACGGGTAGGTTTCCCATTTAGGCTGCTGTGGTAAGCATGCTTTGAATGCAGATTGATTCTTAAATATAGTTCATATTGTATAAACTTAGAGATTTTGAAAGAGTTACTTGTCTAAGAACATGGCACAGGAGCAGGCCTGTCCACCTAGATCCTATCTGCAAGGAAAACTCCCTTTGACTTTCATAATTTGTTGGCCGTAGGTGTTATTAGCATATCTTGTTTTGTTTCATTTGTTTCTTGCACTAGCAAAGGGTAAGAATTATGAAACAATATTAGTAAACCTTGGCTGGTTTTGCTGAGTAGAACAAACATTCTGTTGTCTGGTCTGTAAATTGAAGTTATATTAAGATAGAATTTTCTTATCAGTTTAAGCAAACAAACGAATTGGAGGGCTAGGACCTGTTTTATTAAATCACTGAAAATTTGTGGTCTAGGAAGAGCTACTTTCACCATTATTCTAAAGACTTTCTTTTGAGGATTGTTATTTGCAAAAGCAAATTTTTTTAATGAAAATTTTATGGGAATTTTTTATGAAAACTAGCTTACCTTTTATTATAAAGCAGCCATCAGTGTGTAACTAAACAGAGATGGTATTATCTTCTGAGTGATTTACATAGTATAAGCTACTGTGTTTGTTCTGGACTGGTCTAGATGGCTTGTATATTAGAAATATTGGAACCAATGGCTTGTACCTGATAAGCTTTCTGAAAAGCTCCCAGGATTATATATCGACATGTGAAACAATGAGAAAAAAAAACACTGGTCTTGAGAAATCTGTAACAGCTTTTTAAGCTATTAACTGGAAGAGGGTGGTCTACAAGAAGAGCTCTCTGTTTTCCCACCGGATGCTAAGGTCTGTTCTAGAAGCTGTTCTGTGTCAAAATTCCAAGAGGGTTTCTTTCACATATCACTGGGAGATTCATAAAGGACCTGTTTGCCAGTAGAAAGTAACATTTTAGTCTAATTTGCACCCAGAAACACCTCTTGTATATTTGAATTGGAACTTTAGTGCCTAAATTAGTCTTTACTCAATTTCTGCTCAGCTGCTGATTAATTCAGTGGGACTCTCAACACTCTTGTAGCTTTTGCTTGTTTTAACCATAAAGTTTAGAAGAATAGTTAGGTGCCCTTTTTTTTTTTTTTTTTTTTTTTTTTTTTTTTTTTTTTTTTTTTTTTTTTTTTTTTTTTTTTTTTTTTTTTTTTTTTTTTTTTTTTTTTTTTTGAGCATGTTGATAAATATCTGGTCTGTCAGATCACCAAGGCTGGTCGTTATCTCTCATCTAAATTGATTTGGATTGAGAAATCAGATACACCTGTGCCTGTCATGGCCTTGATTTCAAAAGCATCTCCAACACACAAGAAGAAGATCATGACACTTATGAAACACAGAAATGGCTGCTGTGGGACGATAGGACTCCAACAGAGCTCTTGCCCGAAGATTCTGCATCCGTTAATTGTTTCAGGTTTTAACGTTTTGTTTCTAAAAAGTAACAAAATGTGAAGAAAGCTTCCAACTCACATGGCAATGAAAGGGGGGCTTGTGTGACACAGATGAGAAGAGCCACCTGCCATCAGTGCCTGCACACATTCTTGGTGCTCCTGAACTGCAGCATCAAATACCAAGAGAGGAAGGGGCAATGCAGGAATCTGTCCTCTCTGACCCTGGCTCCTGTGCTGCCAGCACAGAGAAGCTGTGTTCCTCAGGTAGGAACTTGTCAAAAGTGGTCTGAGTATGTCAGCAAAAGTCCTCTGCACTTCTGCAAAAGACATTTTGGTCCAAGGTAGCGCAAATATCTGATATGAAGTGAAGAAATCCTAAACACACGAAACAAACGGCGAATCAGCTGACTTATCTTTAGTTTCATAATCATAAGTTACTGATTTCCCTGTCTCAGCCTCCTACATAGCATCTTGCAAAAGCCTTCACCAGATTAAAACAAATCCCACAGGGTACTGTTGCACCACATGATATTCCTGTTTGCCTTAGTGTTGTAGTAAAAAGTGGAGTTTTTACACGGCCACAGTAAGTACCAGGCTTTATAACCTTTCCTTTACAGGTGGCTGGTAATATGTGCTCCACTGGAGAAAGAAACTCTGAGCAGACACCAGTCAGAATAGTAGGTGGGAGTGATAGTCTGTGTGAGCCCTCAGGCTCAAGAAGCTGTTGAAGCAGTTGGTTTTTTTTCTGTACTGGTGGGTTTTGATTTTCTGCAGTATTTTCCTGCCAGCTCTGTCCTCAGTGCATCCTCCATCCTCCTCAGCATTCAGAGCCACGCAGAAATTCATCCTGACAATAGCAGTGCTGCTGTTTTACAGTGAAGTTTTCCTCAAAGATAGCGTGGGCTGCATGAAGCTAAAATATAGAAGCTAAGACTTAAGTAAAGCAAATAAAACATCTATGAATCCTTCAGAGACTGCTTAAGATCACACTGCTCTTTTTTTCTCTAAACTCTGTAGAATATTTAATGAAGCTGAGCATTATTCAAAAAGCATAATGCAGTCAAGGTGTTCAGTATAATGGTGGGTTTACCTGCTGGAGACAGCTGCACTGATTCCATCTACCCAAGTAGTTTGTCCAGGAGTCAGTGCCTTTCTCCCAAGCCAATTCATGAACTGAATGAGAATTCATTAGTCTGTGCAAGAGCCAAAGTGAGTTCATGTAATTTCTGTGGGTAGGATTTGACCTCTGATAATAATGGATTAAGGCTGGTGTTTTCGAGGAAGCAGGATTTCACTGGGAATTGGACAGCAGAGGAGAAATTTGGCATTGCAGTCATGTCTGTGAGGATGTCTGTTTTTTATCATGGTTTTTATGCTGAAATCAAGGGCATGCATTACTCTGGTCAAAAGACAAAGGCAAGCCAAGATCTGTTTTTGATGCCACCCAGCTGGGACTTTTATAGGGTTAGGAATGAGGCTTCTTTGCTTCCCAGTGGAGAAAATGTAGTTCAGCAAGGGTGGACTTGCTGAAGTAGAAGTGGATAAACTCGTACTTCTGATATATACAATTAATCACTTTTATGATTACACACAGTCATAACAAGTTGCAATAGGTACCAACTAAACCCTGCCAAAAGCTAGTTGCTAGTTGTATGCCTATCACTTTTTTTTTTTTTAAAACACAAACCACCCAAGGCATCCAGAAAGCAGCTGCACATCAGAAGAGCTGAAGGCCTGTTGCTGATGAAACCTAAAGCTGCTGAAGCTTTCTGTGCTGGTTATTGTGAAACTGTTTCCATGCTGCTGATGTGAACTGCAGTGCAAGCTGATGTGGGGTTCTCAGTGCCCTCTTTGTTTTACAGGGCTCATCTGGTCCCGGTGTTCTCCTTTGGGGAAAATGAACTATTCAAACAAGTAGCAAACCCCAAAGGCTCGTGGCTCAGAAATGTACAGGAAAAGCTGCAAAAGATAATGGGCTTTGCTTTACCCCTGTTTCATGCTAGAGGAGTATTTCAATACAGTTTTGGCTTAATACCTTACAGGCAACCCATTCATACTGTTGGTAAGTGCCTTTTCTAATGCTTTTACAAATGTTTAGAAATTCATCAGTGTGCAGCTTTATAAATTTGTTATAACAAAAAGAATCGATTATTGTGCATCTAAAACCAGTATGTGAGGTTTAAACTATTTTTTCTTTTTTTAATTGCCGTCCTTCCCAGTTATAAGGGGGAGTTTTTGTCTCCCTTTCCCCTTTCTGTCCTAGGCCATGTCTCCCTCTTCATTCTCAGTTACTCACAGGCTTAGCAATCCACAAAGAAATGCAAGGGTTGTCCAGTCCATACTGGAGGGGTGCCACAGCTCTGCAGCTGTTGCTGTGGATTCTGGATGCTGCAGTTAATATGTTAGAAGCCCAGAACCTTCATTTCTTCATTGCAGAGAAGTAGCAGCTGGGTGATGCACAGCCACCACTGCAGTGCTCTGGAGCAAGGCTGCTGGAAGGAACTCGTGTAGTCCTGACCTGGTGTTCATCAGGAGAGAGGGAAAGATGGAGGAGGGAAGGGAGAGGGGACCTTGCAGCACCTCTGCCACAGCTCTTGGACGGGCTGCCACTTACATGGCTTTGCAGGTCTTTAGTGTGTTTCCTTCCCTTTTGATTTTTTTTCCCCATGGAAAGATCCAGTCATGTTTAATTGTGAGTGTTCATGCCAAAACAGGGAGTTTGGAAGAGTGTTTTTCCCCAGAAGTTTTCATTATTGGTCATCTACTCTCACTGGAGTGTGGAACTGAACATATTTTAATGGCTTTGACTAGTGCTATTGACAACCACACCTTTAAAAAAAAAGTGATGCTGGGAATCATGCAAAAGCAATAGTTCTCTGTCTATATACTTTATGACAAATAATTTTTTTGCTAGATTCTGACTGGAGTGAACTGATGAAGCCTTTTTCTAAAGAAAAGTCAAGCTTTTCTGGTGTTCCACAAGGGACATTTAAGGTGGCCCTCCCTTTAATGGAGGGATGATTTGATTTTAGTACAAAGCAAATAAAAAATGTTTAACACAAAAATGTAGCTCTTTTTATGTTAAATTTCATGCAGATCTGTGTTTTATCACTTCATGCAGTTAAATATTTTGAAAAGATGTAATTTTTAAAGCCCACACTGTTCACAGGTAGGCTAAAAATGCCACTTTATTTAAAGCCAGAGAGTTATGAAAGAATTGAAATGAGATGTATTGGATGACATGAGATGTATTTTCTGCAATTTTTCCTTTGGCTGATGACACTGAGACTGTTCTGAAGCTTAAAATGTCTTACTCTGAGTCAAATCATCATTGTAATATTTACTGCAAGTGCAGAGGTGGTCCCTGGCAAGAGCAACAGGAGTGCTACAAATCAGCAAGACCACAGTCTTGCAACAGAACTCGTAAAATCTGATGAAATCCTTCACCTTTATCTTTCCTCATGTTTGAGAACTATCACGATGTCCTTGTGTCCTTGGAGGCGTGGGGGGAGTATTCTTGGTGTGGCTCAACGTGGCTTGGAAAGCATTGGCTCTGCTCCTGAGAGCTGCAGAGTCGCAGTGAGCTCCAACCTGAGCCAGTTTCACAGATTTCAGAGTATCCTGCGTTGGAAGGGACCCACAGGGACCATCAGTTAGCTGTGTTGACAGCGTTTTACTCATGGCTCAGAAGTCATGGATCCTAAATCCATTCACTGAGCAAGGTTTGTGCAGTCTGAGTGTTTTGGGCTTGGTCAGTGAGGTACTTCTGTTTTCCCTGAAAATTATTACTGCTTTTCAGAAATAGAAACAGCTCTCAAATATCAAATTAAGCAGGTTTCTTAAAGCTGCACATAAAATTAGGGAGATGAGTGTAGTTTCTAATTCCACAAGAAATCTCTACTCTTAGGAGAAGAGGCTGCTGCAGAAGGGCTTGGGGTTTGTTTGCTGTTTCCAGTCCTGCTGCTGGAAATCCTGTATTGTATGTATATTGATTTCATACCCCCTAAGGTGTTGCTCAATCCAGGGCTGGGTTCCCAGCCATATCCACGTAAAGTCTGAATTTCAGCACCACACAGGGCCCCAGAGCTGTTGGCAGCTGAAGCTGCAGCAGGAAAATGCAGACTCAGCCTCTTTGTGCTTCTGGCTAGGCTTCCCTATAGTCAACACCATCCAATTTGAAGTGGAAACATCTGTTGAAAGGGATTTTCAAGTGCCTTTGTGAAAGCTCCTAGGGGTGCTTTTAACTCTCTGCTTTTCTACAGGTTTTCTCTGTAATCCCAGTTTGGGTCTGTTAAAGTCTTGGTGCCTCCAGTGCAAGAACAGCTGTAAAAATCTGCAGTGATTGAACAACACAGGGAAGACTGAGATCATGGGAAGCTTCTCTTAGCACATGTCAAGCTTTTTAACCATAGCTCTCTGTAGAGGAGGAGACTGCCCTCCAGACATCCATGTTCCTTCTTGCTCTCGCTCCGATGGAGCAAGTAGCAGGCTTTGCAGTGCCTGGAGAACATTTTGGTTGCAATGACATTTGTGGGCAATGGGTGGTTCAGAGACACCTTAGAGGGTCTGGGAGTTTACATGCTACCCTAGGCTGAGGTCACTGACAACGTTTCTGGTGCAGTGATGCCCACTCTGAAAAAAAGAAATGGAAGGTAACTGTGTTTCCTTCAGTCCTGTTCTGTGACTGTGTGGTTGAGGGCGCTGCTGTTGTCATAGGCATGTCCCTCACGCTGAACAGCTTTAGTGTTCCAGTCAGAACAGAAGACTGTGAGACAGCACATTTTTCTAAATACTGTGTTGAACTCGTGGACAGCACATAATGCATGGGATTGTATCTTGAGCTGTAAACAACTCCTTCAAGTTAGAACTCAATCCCCTTCTCACTTGCTCCTTTGCTGCCAAACTGAAACGGTGGGGGTTTTAATTCATTTTAACTGAACTTGAGCAAAAGCAAGTGAAAAACCAGACCCAGGACTCAAGTTTATGAAAGGCAGGATCAGGCCCCACGGCAAGAGAGTTGTGCTGTGATTCTGCCATCTCCCTGGGAGCTGTGTAGCACCTGCTACAGGAGGGACAGCAATTCTAATTTAAAGGGGATGTCAGTGAAGCTAATGCTGCCGTTGTGTTTGATTTGCAGTGGGAAGCCCCATCCCTGTGAAACAGAACTTGAACCCCACCACTGAAGAGATTGATGACCTACATGCATTGTATCTACAGAAACTAAGGCAATTGTTTGAAGAACACAAAAAAAACTACGGGATCCCTGAGCATAGATCTCTCATCTTCGAGTAGCAAATTACAATTTGAAATTCCAAATCTCATGGAAAGAAACAGTATCTGCTGAAAGATGTCTTTGTTGCAATCCATATTTTGCAAGCTGTAATTATCCTTATGCAAGGAATACTTTTAAGAAGGGATTATTAGATGATATATTGATTTTTATCTTACTTTTGGGTGGGTGGGGGAAATCTTTGGGATGTGAGCCTCGAAGCCAGTGCTGTTTTGAGTTGTCCTTTTAGGTTTATCTGTACCAGAAATGCAAGAGACCCCACATAGATGTTCTTACTGCCACGGTACCTACCCATAGCTTGAGCACAGGAAATCGCCCCAGCATGAGATCACGAGCAGGAAAAGTAAAAACCCGAGAAGTCTTTGACTAGAAGTTAAGAGACTTTCCAGCATTTATCAAACATGGCATCAGGTTGTTCTCTGAACGCCAGAAATCCCTGCTGCTCTTCCAGAGAGATGATGGTGTGTGTTTTCAGCAGATGGGTATTGCAAACCATTTACATGAGAATTCAAGAATGAATAGGAGCTTTCAGCCCTGAATAGGATATTGGCGAAAGTGGTTTGTCCAAAGTTGTGAGGCAGAGCAAACCTTCTGTTTGGAGGAGAACAGTGTGTTGAGCTTTTGTGTGCATGTGTGTGCTGGGTGGTGGGAAGCACTGAATGACGTGACAATGAATGTGTGGGACAACCTGTGTTTTGAATCTTCAGTTTGGAAGACGAAGCAGCTTTGATAGTTCCAGCTCCAGAGGAGATGGCAGGCACAGGACAGGAGAAGTGAGGGAATCGTGTGAACTTTACACCTTGTGCAAAGCAGAAATGATCACACGTCAAGCACCTGCACAGAAGGAAGGGGAGCCCGGTTTGCTCAGTCTGGTTCTGAAATTTCACCAAGGAAAGTGTACTTGGTCATGCCTTTTTCTTCCCCACTAACAGGTGTGGGGAAGCACGTTACAGCTGTGCTGCAGTGTGACACAGCTGCAATGCCAGGACAGTGTGAGCACAGCTGTAGGGTGCAGCAGGTTAAGAGGGTGCTTTGTATATAAACCAGGTGCCTAAAGTTGTATCCTAAATGTGGATATCAATTTCAGAAAAAAAGACAAACTCTTTTTCAGTTAAAATGCCTAGGTCTTGGAGATTATGGTGCGTGGAGAGAACTGCAGTATGTTACTGAATTTTTTATGAGATAAATTCTTGTGCTTGTACATGCTTTCTACCTGCATGTGGACTTTGCAGATCTGATGTTACTGAAGAGTTTGTTTGCTTGCTTTAGGCAGTTTTGGTGCCTGAATATTACATCGATTAGGTGCTCTGGCAGGTTGTGCACAGGGCTGTCAGGCAGCCTGGGGCATCTGCAGATGGTTCAGTTCAGCACTGGGATGCTCCAGGAATAGCAGGACTGGGCACATTGTGTGCTTGCTGGGCTGGAGGCTTCTTAGAAGAAACACTGTTAGGACTTTGGGAACAAGGTAGAACTCTGGAAAGAAAATATCTTAGCAAGATGAAGGTGTTTAAAAGAAAAGAGTGGAAAGATCTCAGCTCTTGCAGAGTGAACTCCTAATGAAACAAAGCTCCAAAGCCAAACAAGTATTTGCCAGATGGAGCAGATGTATGTGTTCCAAAACCCCTGCAGCAACAAGTTGGTTTCCTTACAAGGGCTCTTCTTTTTACTGCATGTTTGTCATATGGATGTAGGCAACACTGAGCCCGTGAATCCTGCTCCCATTTTCTCTTGGACAATAATCTTTCTGGGAACCAGGGCTGGAATTTGCAGTGCCTGAAGAAGCCCCTCTTCCCTGACAGAATGCTGTAAACGTGCCCACAGTTCACCTCTACTTGAGCTTTCTTGATGCTGCGTATGTTTGTCCTCTCTTCCCATGCCTTTGCTTCCTGATGATCCCTGTGGTGTAGGCATCTTACTTCCTCACTCTCTGTCCATCTTTCCCTGGGTTGAGATCTCTGGACTGTCTATGAGTGCAAAATACTGAGTGGTGTCTTCTCATTCAGCACAAATGGGTTTTAGGAGCAGGTTTTGAGAAGAGGAAGCACTGTGACTGTACATGTCTGACACGAGTTTAGGATCAGGATTGTTTCAGCACTTGGAAGGGCATGTTTCTAGGGAGGTCAAACACAGCAGGTTTTTTGCTGGGCAGAGGTCTGTAGGGTCCTAAGCATTGTACTGAGTGATGAGCCCTGAGCAGTCGTTTTTGCTAAGCCAGCCGAGTGAAATTTCCTTTGGATCTGTTTCTTTGCTGCCTGCCCTGATGAGTAGTGCTGATTTTCTCTCCTAGATCATCTGCTCTAATGAGATATTTCCTCTCATTCTCTGCCTGTTCTTTTTCCATTATCTTATGATATAGAAGCTCAGGCTATAAATTTAAAAATATTAATGTTGAGGATGGGAAGTAACAATGGATTTTTGTTGACCAATTTAACCAAAACTTCTAGGGAATATGCATTATTTATTGTTATTATTATTATGATACTGATTTGGGGGCAATATCTGGTCCAGAGGGTACCTGAAAAACAGGCTTACCACTGAATTCCATGAGAAAATTATCTGTGGGCTCTGAGTACCATCCATAACTGGCACAGGCAGAACAAGTAGGGATTGTTACTATGACTACTGATATTGTCATTGCTTTGTAATAGAGGGAGATGCAGAAAAAAAGAAAACAAGATCTCCAAGCTACTTAAATATTTATCGTTGCTCAATAACTGCTGACTATAGTTTATGATGGTCCTTCCAAACTACCTTTTATTAACCAGTTGTCTAGTGTATCTAAGGCTATTTTAAAATAGAATTTCCATCTCTAAAGCCTGGTAGACATGGCATCATCTGAAATATTTACCTCTGTGTTAGTGTGTGGATTTGTAAAGCAGCCTCACAATGCTGAGTGAAGGCACCAATCCCACCACTGCTGCAGCCATGAAGAGGCTGCCCATTTTTGGTGGAGTGACACAGTGTTTAGCTGAGGTTCATGCTGGACAAAGCAAGAGCCAGTAGGAACGGTGACACCCCCTCCCCAGCTGTGACTAGAAGAATTGGGTAGCGCTCAGATTTCTGATGGGATGATCACACTGAGTGGGGTCTGCTTCGTGGTTGTGTTTCTCTTTGTGCCTTTTAATGCCATAGGTAATTCCAGGAAAGGGATTTTAATGCCACAGGTAATCCCCACTGATAGAGATGCTCTGCCTCTATGCCATGCAAACACTGCCTCCCCAGCGTGCTCAGGATAACAGTACCTGCCTGTTCCCTCGTGTGTGAACATCTCTGTGCCAAATTTTGTTTACAGAAAGTCAGTCCTCAAGTATTTTTACTTTGTGAACTGCAAAGCATATTTTACATTTTGTAACTTTCTACGGTACCTGTAAAATATGAACGTCAGTTGTTTCAATGATAGCTGTGGCAAGATGTGAGATAATAAAGGTTTGTATCAAAGTGCACTTGTGTTGACTGGAATTCAGATTTGCACCACTGCTCCTCAGGGGGTCATATATGCTGATAACGTGCTGATAAATCAGGAGGTGGGGAAGGTGGATGGATTGCTTGCTGCAGTCTCCAGAAGGGTCACTGGAAACCAGGTTCCTGCTGGGGTTCCAAAGTATCTGAGGAACAAGTGACCCACAGCAGGGAAGGGCTGGGCTGCAAAACCAGGAGCTCAATGCCAAGAGGGCACAACGGGGAAGCTGGAGCACAGGAGGGTGGGCAATCTCTGGAGGAGTTGGTGAAATAATAGTTTTTGAAGTTGAATTCAACTTCAGTTTAAAGTCAAGTTTGAATTTTACATGAAACTTGCATCAAGAAGTCCAAATCTTAGTAACTGTACCCTAGAAAGAAGAACAAAGGTTCTGCAGAGGCTCTGCTTAACTCTAGGAACTGGAGAACTAAATAGCTGTTTGGAGTAAAAAATGTGTTGCATTTGTCTTTTGGGAAGAGGAAAACCACTCACAACAGTGATGTACTCAGTGTTTGGGTTTTTTTTAAGCAGGGCAATGTTACACAGCACTAACAGCTGCAGTGACAAGTGTGAATTCCAAAGCCTAGGAAAGGCTAATTGTATTTTGTTACCATTTTAATACTTTCTTTGTGCAATGATCCCACTTCGCATCTCCATATACTATAAAGAGGAAAAATGGATAAAAAAGTGGCCTTGGTTTGCTTTGAAGTAGTCCCATTATGTGTATGCATGTGTAAATTGGAGGTGTGTCATGGTTCATCAATGGATCAACATCACGTCCTGGTTTTGCTGAAATACTAAAAAGAAGCATGTTATACCTGTGAAGCAAGAAACGGAGAAAAACAAGGAACAGAGAGAACTGGACATTCATTCTTCTCAAGGTGCTGCAGCAACACAAATCCTGATCACAACTGCCTGTGATAGGTAAGTGATATAGTGATATTACCTCCTTACCCAAGCAGTTGATTCTGAAGGGAATCGGGTGGCCTGAGGGATGTAGATGTTTTTTTCAGCTGATGTTTCTTAAGGTTGGTATCAATTTCATGTCAGCTGAACTGCTGGAGCAGTGCCTATATTGCAGAACCCAGGAGAGTATTGTGCTTTTTTCCAGTTTAACAGAATAGAGTTAGAGAAAAGGAAGAGAAGACGACAAAGGAGAGGAAATTAATTTACTTAATGTAGTCCTATGCTGGAGAAATATATGCATCTAAAAAAGTAGCTAAAAGAAGGTGAGGAACTGTATCCTTTATGGTTGCCTTCCATACACTAAGTTTCACAAATAGCACAAGCTTGGGAAAAGCATTTGTGGTGCAAAGAGGAAGAGCTTCCCTTAAAGCGTCAAGAGATACTTGTTACCCAAATGGACAGGCATCCAACCTGGATCCTTTTCCATCTTGGGCAGTTGTAACAATTACAACTGTTAGCCAAGGGGCATCTTCTGTTTGTGCGATTTATTTTCAGTTAAGTTTCCTTCTGGCGTGAATGGAGCCCCATTGCTTTTGGAATAGCTGTGCTGAAATTTAATGAACAGACCAGGAGCTTTTCTTGTCTAACGTGAGTCAACGGTGGTTTCATCTTTCCCTTCTGCAGACAGCAAGCATTATTTAATCACAGAGAATAGGTGTGTTGAGTGGAAAACTGTCATTCTCTTTATTTGCAGAGCACAGATTATCCTCTGGAGACATGAACTGCAGCATTTTCCTGGGGAAATTGCTTAGGACGAATTCATACACGTAGTAATATGGACATCTACGTGTTTTAAAATGCACTGGAAGTCCACGCTAAAACACAAGCCAGGTGGCTTATTTGTTGCTGAAATTTGTGCCATTTCTCGTTTCGGTAAGTGACACAGCACTGCCTGTTTTGAGTTTGGGGAAGGTGGGAAGGGCTGGGCCGGGATGAGCCGTGCGGGCTCAGGGAGCGCCGCCAGGTGCCGCCCGCGGCCCGTTGCGGGAAGCGGCTCCCGCACCGCCCGTGCGGCGGGACCGGGATGCGGAGAGGAACCAACAACCGGTCCCCACCTCCAGGGACAAGAGAGGGCGGGATGCTCTTGAAATTCTGTCCCTGAGTCCCAACATTTAGGCATGTACTCTCTCTCACGCTTCCAAAGCGGCAGGGATGGATGGATGGAAGCGTGCCCTGCCACGCCGCACGCGTGTGCTCCGAGCTGCGTGTCTTCCTGTTCTCCTCGCTTCCAGAGCAGGAAGCCAACGCAGGTGGGATGAAAGGGAAGAGCGGACGAGGTGAGTTTGTCTTCTCCTGCCTGCGGGAGCTGTTGGGCTGGTGGTTTGCTCAAGCTCTATGGAGCTAAAACACGGGGACTCTGCCTCCCGACTGCCCGGATTTGGCGTGTTTGTCTTGCGCTTAGAAAGGTGCTGCTGCTGTTGGAATGCTTTTGTTCCCTGCCTGTTTTCCTTCCGGTTCAGTGTTTCACCTGAAAAAAATATTCTGCGTATGACTTTGCAGCTCGACATTTTAATTCCTGAAGATGGAAGGAGGAAGAAAGGCACAGAAAAGGTGACACACCTGTTGCTGCTCTGGAAGCTACTGAAATACATCGTTGCTTTTTGATCTTCAGCAAAAGGAAAAAAAGACCCTATGAAAAAATGTTTAATATTCTCAAGGTGGAAGCCTGTTTACATTGTACCAGGGGTTATTTTTCAGTGTGTTCATCCTTTTGAGCGACTTTCCCTTCCCCGCTCTGCTCTTCTGTACTTGCCACCTTTACCTGTGGGATGCTTTTGCCCTCCTCATTGGCAGTATCTTGTTCCCCTGCTGTGTGAAGTGAGTGGCTTTGCTAATGATTGGCCAATATGTTTTGTCTGCCATCTCCTCCTGCGTAGTAACCCCCCTCTTTGGATGCCCACTGTCCGTGGGGAGCGGGGTGTTTGGTGCCTGAGCTGCTGCAGGGCTTGCGGTGGTGGCTGAGTCGTCACCTCCGCTGCCTTCCCCATCTCCCTGATGGACGTCAGCACTCCTGGAAGCAGAGCTGGTAGGACGAGATGCATGTCCACATCTCAGCCTGGCATCTTGCCTCAGCCCTTCGTTGAGGCACGAGGAAAGAGGCAGGTGTGGGCAGGAATGCCTCTGGCTGATGCCAAGGCTCAGTGCACTCACCTGTGGTGCTGTACATGGCCATGCTGGCAGGCAGATTTTAAGGAAACTGGATTCATCTTGAGGTAGATGGCTGCAAGCTTAATGTCCATGCTCGGGCATGGAGGTTAGTGGCTGAAGCATGCTGAGTGCAGTATTAAACATCTCGAGACGCTTCGTTCATATTTTAATCTCTCATCTCTTTTGCTTGCAAAATCTATTTTTTTTAGAATACAAATGACTTAGATTTCTAATGTAAAAGAAGTATTGATGTGATTTATATTTAAATATACTCTTTCTAAAATAATGATTGAATTTTACTGCATCTGTAAGTCACATGGAATGAAAAGGGCTTTTAACAGTGTGGAAGTTTAGTGTCCCATGCCTTGAGTCTCAGCCAGTGATTGACAACCTTATCACATATTCTGTCATTATTACCTCCATCAATCAAAGTGGTATCAGCCATGAACCAGAGAGAGATAAGTCTGTAATTTGATTGTAAAATCTGCTGAGGTGGAAAATATTTGCTTAACTGTTAAGTAATGCATGGGTGGAGGAAACTGGCATTATTACTGCAGCTGGGTTACCAATGGTGGTGTATGAAATGCTGTAGTCCTGGCTACCGCTTACAAATCAAGATAACCCTTATTTTTTAACATTTTATAATAGGAAAAGCAGTGCTGGAAGTTCTGAAATATTACATGTCAGTAATTTTTTAAATGAGCCATCTGAACACACGGTATTTGCACTCCTTCGGGGAATAAGCAGGCCCTATGTAAACACACACTGCTGCCAAAGGACATTTTACCTGAGTAATGACTGTAAATTAATCCTATTAGATTGGACTCAAGTTGTGCAAAGTAGAAGTTCCCAGGAAGTGCTCCACCTTTCCGCCTTCTCCTGCCTGGTGGATGATGTCCCTTTCAAACTGGGCAGCTTTCTGTGACCTCTCGGTGTTCATTTTGATGGAAACCTGCATTAGGAGTTTTAGTTTGATATATTAATAGTGCCTAGTGGCCTGACTTCACCATGGCTTGTCTCTTGGCATAAGGATGTCTTTCTTCTGTGGATCTCTTCTCTGGACTTTTTCACCTGAAGGTGCAGAAGTGGGGCACAGGGCTCAAAGCTGACAACTTTCTTTTAAAACGAGGGGTGCAGTACTCTCTTTAAACCTGCCTGTTTTTCATATGTGGCTTTTGTGTCCGACTCCTGCATCCTGACAGCAACCAGGGAACGGTGTGAGAGGTTTCTGTTCCCAGCACTGGTCGGCATCTCCTCACTCCAAGTGACTCTGCCCCTCCTGGGGGGAGCGGTTTCCCTGCTGATGGCCCAGCCTGTAACATCAAGTGCTCTCACAGGGCTGACAGCGCTAATCTGCATTACATAGGATTAAACAGGCACAGTAATTAACTTGCATAAGCGCTTTAGCAACTTTTGGCCTTTGAATTGCTGTGTGTCCTGTATGTGGTGGTGCCGAGTCTCTGTAAGCTGGGGGTCAGCACGGGGTAGGGAGGGGAGGGGGTGGAAGTTGGGGAGAAGAAAACAGAAGCTGAAATTCCAACAGTGAGCTGGAGAGGGAAAGCACAAGGTCAAGCTGAAATAGGTGTTGTCATTGTTTTCAGGAGTCAGGGTGTGCTGAGTATCGTCCAGGTGTGTTGAAAAGGCAGTACGGGCACTGGTATCCACAGCTCTCACTGAATCCACTCAACCATGAAAGGCAGGGCTTCATTTCTAGTCCTATGTTAAATGTTGCCCCCAGATGAGAGGTGAAGCTGTATCCATGAATTTACTCCTTCAGTTTTATAGCGTTCAGTCATCACAAATCATACCTTCAACTAATTCTTCACTGCTGTGCTTAGAAGATTTAGTTCAAATGAGCAACCCTAAGCTGAACTAAAACGTAGGTATGTCAATAAACTCCCTCAGCCATTATCCTCATGTGCTGAATTCTGCTCAGTGCCCAAATGTCTGTAGACTTAAGGGCACATCCCAAGAAATACTACAGAAATAAGTCCAAAGCAATGTACTTTTCACCGGTGCATGGCAACTGTTAAATATATCTGATGCAGCTTATTCAGATCTGCTTTGACTCAGAATAACAGCAGAGAAGGTTGAAATGCATTTGCTTGTGGCAATGTCTCTGTCTTTGTAAACATATGGTTCCAGGGGGAAAGGTCTCAAAGTCAGCAGGAAAACTTGAGAAGATTTCACTTCCCCACTATACAGCGTGTTATCCTGGGTCTTATGTGTGAAGCTTGATTCAATTTTACATGAGGCAAAAGTGAGGAGTCACCAGCAGGTCAGATGAAATTTCTATACCTTCAGGAAAAAGTCTCGATCCAGTCTGACTCGCAGAAAGTGTAGGTTTCTTGTTTGTTTAACTTCCAGAGTCAGGATCCTCTTACAAGCCTCACAGGAATGTGTTCTCAAGACCTTTTTGCCTTTCTGGAAGCGTTGTCTTAGGATGTTTCAGAGCAAAGCACTGAAAGTTTTTTCATCACCCAGATAGTCCCACAGCAGTCCAGGTGTCTTGGGAGCCACTGAGAAACTGCAAACAGCTGAAGTAAACAGAACCCTTAGGTATGATGGACCCCAGTGCAAAGCCACAAACCCTGTGGGAATGAAGCACTTCAGAGAGACATATTTCAGTTTTAAAAACCTGCAGTAACCTTGGGAGAAGTTACTCACACCAGTGGATAATCGGCTCAAGAGGATTTCACTTACAGGTAATGATGGTGCAACAACTTGCCTATGCAAAAGCAAATACAAAAGGGAAAATTGTTCTCAGTCCTTTTAACCAGGTAACAGTGGGTCTGGTCTGGCACCTGAATGTGGTCCAGAAGTCAGGACAGTGGAATGGCAAACAGGGAAGAGGTTCACAAAGGACTAACCATTTTGTAATAAACAAATCAGAGGCCATTAACTGATTGCCCTGGGATTCAGAATGGGCCCTCATCCTCTGTGCCTTGGTTTACCTCTTTGGCCAGAGCATGATTACTGCTCCCCAGGTATCTGCTGCTGCAAACTGCTGGAAGTGTAGCTAGATCCCAAAACCTGCTGGCACTCACTGGCAGGTATGGCAGTGTGACAGGCTGCTTCCCCTGCAGCACCTGGGACCCCACTTGTAATAACCAGTCTGTACAAACACTGGTGTGAAAAGTGAAGAGAAAAGCTGTTTTAGGGGCCTGATCCCAGCAAATGCTGATTTTTCTTGTCTCTCCAAGTCCAGCGCTGAAGCACTGACCCTCACTGCAAGGTGAGCGGCTTTACCTGGAGTATCTTGAAGTTCATTCCCCTCTGATGGAAACCACCCATGGGTGTGATTCTTATCTCGGTCTGAACACGCTATCAGTGGAGGTAAAACTAGTAAGTGGTATTGTCATCAACTTGGATCTTTTTTAAGCATTGAAGTTTACTTTCACAGAAGAGAGGGCTCCTAGATTCCTTCCTCAGACAAAAATTTTTGGTTTAAAAGCTGGTATAAACTCCATAAATGACCTTTTCTATAAGAGATGGAAAAATTAAATGGACACATTATTTATTATTATTATTATTAATCCATTAGTAAAAACAAGAATACGTAAGAAAATAATCCACACTTGAACTAACAAAACCAAAAGTATGCATCTAATAACACCAAATTACTTCGAGGTTAAATTAATTGTTTTAGAACTGGAATCCTAAACCCCACGTCTTTTTTCTACAGGAATCTCTTTGCGTGATTTTGTATGATGATGGCCTGGCATTCTAAACCTTTGGGGAAAAAAGGTAACCGGTTTGGATACCTGCATGGAAATCTCCAGTTCTCAAAGTGTTTATCACATTATTTGTCTGCAGTCCTTCACGGCGGCAGCTGGATAATAATGTCGACGTGCTTGATATTTATATGGCATTATTACAAATTTTGCTTTGGACACGTGTGATGTGTCCTTTTCAGCACTGCAGAGATATTCTTCTAATATTGCTTGACTGTATTGCTGTGTTTGCTGTCTGGGATTTCACAGTGCAAGATGGTAAGAGCTAGAAAAAAATAGAGAAGAGCATGAAATGGACTCTTTCCATATAAAATTGCTAATCATATGCCATTGCATGTTTTACACAGTTGCATCAAAAAAATCTGATTTTGCTTCCAATGAAGATTTGTATTGCAGGGCCCCTGTGACACCTTCTGATATAAATGCAGCTCCTTTGCTTCAGGCAAAGTGGTGTTTGTAAAAGAGCATCGTTTCAGCTGCGTGCTGAGATTTAAGATGCTCCTCAATGGCCAGGCTGTGGGGTACAATGTCTGCTGTTTCATTCACAGTTCCTGTTCAGCTTGATGCCTCTCCTGACCCCATCTACGCAAGGGGAGGGCTGCTCTGCCCCGCGGTGGTTGAGGAGCAGTCAGGCACAGCCTCCTTAGCTTGGCCTGTCTACAAAGGCATCAAATTGCCCTTGCCATGGTGGTGTCCCACTGGAGTCACCTGCTGCTCCCAGTCAAAGGGTGGGGTGAGAATGGGGCTGAGCCAGGCTCTGACATCAATGGGAAGTGGTCTCAGAGGTCTGCAGAGACTGATTGTCTTTACTTAATCTGTGAGAAAGCAAAACCAGCTGTCATTGGGCAGTGCAGATGGACAGCTGTGCTTTTAATCACTTGCATTAAAAAAAAAATATATGAAAATTAATTGGAATATAGTGTACAACTGTCCCCAGTCGTGGTTCCGAGGCTCTACCATGGCCACCTGCTGGCTTGTCCCCTCTCCAGCCCTGGCTGCAGAGGAGGATTTGTTTCCTTCTCTTTTTTAAGCTATACCCTTGATTACACAGGAAAACTGTGCTCTTGGCCAGGTTCCAAGGTTGTAACTCTGTTGCCAGAATTTATTAAAAAAGCACCAGCCGACCTTCTGTATCACTTAATCTTTTCTCTGATCATGAGTACTACAGAGGTACCTTTGTAAAGCACCAGGAGAGATGTTTGATGTAATGCCAATGCTGCTAAGGGCTTTCATTATTGCTTGGGATAACCTTCAATTAAATTTTCAACAGAAAAATAGCTTTTTCTCGTGTGGCAATATATTTGACTTTATCAGGTATTGAAATAAATAGTATTGTTAAAAAAAAAAACAGTCTGAGCTTAGGTAAAACATGATTTCTCTACACCACAGTCAGCTAGATCTCCTATTTTAGTAATTTATAACCCTTTGAAATACAAAGAATTAGAACATAATGTCCAGAAGGAGAACATAATGTTAATGTATGAAAAGGGCTGTGCAGCTAGCCCTAAATTTTGGCTAGGGTCTTGCAGCAAAGGAGCTACAATGGGTGGGAGATGTAAGAAATTCATTAACGAGTAAATTAGCAGTTCTACAGGCATGTGTGTGCATGTATGTAATAAAATGGCAGAACTTTCTGTAGCTAATTTCTTATTAGCTGTTAGAAATTTTGAATGATGGCTTTTCATATGCTTTCTTAGTTCTCTCATGCAGCACTGAAGTCTAACTAACTGGAATGTGAAGCAATCTGAGAGTTGTCATTGCTCTACGATAGCCCAGATCAAATCAATTTTGAAGGGAAGTTCAGTTTCTTTTGGTTTTGTGTTTTTGGATTGTTTGTTTGTTTGTTTTTGGGTTTTTTTTTTTAAATGTGCATTAGTTCCCTCAGCACTCTCATCATCAGTCCTAAGCTTGTTCCACCTTTTTACATGAAGTGCATGCCTGGATTCTCAAAATTATTGCACTTAATACAGCAATATTGATGAAATTAGGTGAAACCTTTAAAAATGTATAAATACATAAAATTCATCTGGATTTCTATCCTGGTCAGATCCCTCAAAAATGTCCTGATTCATCATCAATTTCAAACAAAACCCTGCGATTGAAGAAATAAATAGGCACAAAGAACTAAGAGGGGGGATCTGGATGGAGGTTTTCTGGTTTCAAGTCTGAAGAGTTCAAATCTGACTTCACAGCTGAAATCCAAAGTGTAGTTAGGGGACCCATGCCATGATTTCAGCAGCAAGTGAAGGAGGACTGAACAAATCAATTCACCGTGGCTGAATCGCAGCCTTAATTACACGCGACGTAAGGTAATGACAGTCTTGGGCTGTGACAGCAGGTTGCTGGTATTCTCAGTGCTCATCTGCTGCTCATGCCTCTCCCCCAGGGAGGAAGCTCCATTTTGTTTATTCCCTAAACTGAATCATTTCAGAAATCTGCCTGGGAAGACAGCCACAGCCAGAGGAGCTGAGGGGCTGACCAGGGCTGAGGGCACTGCGGCTGAGAGGGGCTCCAGGGGATCACCCCTCGCTGGAGGAGAAGCCTGGTGGAGCCTGAGCCTTAGATGTGGGCTGGTAATGCTGCAAGGAAGCTGAGAAGAAATGTCATGGATTTCAGTAAGACATGAGAGTCATCCCTGGATCTGCACCCGCCTGAACACCAGAGGTATTTGGATTCAGAGTGAAGTTTTTATCTAACAGGTGTTAACAGAAATGCTCTGACTTGGGGAAGGGGATTTACTCATGCTGGTTTTAGGTCAGCAGTCAGAAAAGGAGGGAGTAGCTTCACTCTTTGGAACTGACCATCACTGCCCAGAGGTGTCTCTAATTTAAATGTCTGTTGGTGGCCCTGGCTGGTGCTCAGCCCTACAGCCCAGCAAGAGGTTTCCTGAGCTAGACCTGGCAAAAATAAAGAAATTGGGATTTGGTTGTCTTTTTGTTTTGGTATGTAAATCTTTTTCCTTAATGGGCAATAATACTGTATGGAGAACTAGCAATGGCTTAGAAAAATCCCCTATCATAAAATAGTTTCATAGAAAAAAAACATGGATGTGTTAAGAGCACTTTTGTTTTGTTTCCCTTATTGCAAGCTTCTTCATGTTTCTAAGACCTTGTCTGAAATGGGCTTTTAGTCTCTGCTTGGATTATAACAGTGATGCAAATTGCTGGTGCAGATATGCTGCCACTAAATACACAGTGGCTGGAGCAGGGAATACCCACTGAAAATGCAAAGTATGGAGGGGAGAAGGGAGAGGAGCGTGCATGGGGCAGGCTGTGAAGTGTAGAGTCCAGTGGTAGTTTTTGGTAGAGTGTTTGTTTATTTTTGCTGAGGATATGAGTAAGAGAGGACTCAAATTTAACAACCACCAGAAAGTGAGGTGGTGCAGGGCAGGCGGTACAAGAAATGGTGTGGAGTCACCTGCCCTCCCGCAGGCGAGGATGTCAGTCATTAGCAGACAGAGAAGTGTCTGAAATGAGGGTGCTGTGCCCCCTTTGCTGGTATCCAGCAACACAAACAGGCACACCAGGCATGTCAGCCTCCCAGGTACTTACCCACATACCTACAGCCAGGTTGTGAATTCTTCAGCAGGAGCCAACACCCTCCTAACCCAACAGCAGTCTGGCTCAAGCGAGTGGGATGTGAATTTGCTTTTTAGTTACCAAGTCTTGCATCTAATTGAACCTCCTGCAGGGGAGAAAGGCTGATCTTAAGCTCGTAATTCCTTGTTTAGATGTGACTTAAAATAACTGGCTTTGGGGAGCAGCGGTGCCTCCACTGATCTCAGTGAGAATTGTCATCCTGCCAACACTGGCTGCGGGTCCCAGAATTACCACTGCAAATGACATCAAAGGCCCGCTATCCTGTCTTCCTCATCACCCATGAAGGACTGAATGAAAAGCAAGATCAAGAGCTTCTTCTGGCCCACCAAGGCCTGAAAAACCTGGCTTAGTTTTACCTTCCTCCCTGTCTCATTTCATCAGGAGCTGTCAGCCACTGCCCAGCTGGGCTAAGGGTCAGGGAATGCAGTTGGTGAGAGGTGATCACTAAACCTGTCACGCAGAGAGGCTGTTACCACGAGTAGTGGTGGCGAAAGAGGATATGGATGCATAAATTTCCCAATATTTTTTAAAAATATATTTGGCTTTCTGTGGATAACTACTTGCTTGTCAGTTCAGGTCATCTGTAACTAGCTCGTGCTGCCACATTTTGAAATTTTAGCTCATGGTGGAAAAATAAAAGCACGTAGGGGGGAGGTGTCACTAACAGCAAGTGATGAATCCTGGCACTGTCAGCATTTTGGATGATGTGAACACATCTCCATGCACTCAAGTAATCTGTATCCTTGTTACTCATCATCATGTGTCTAACCATAACTATGCTTTTAGTTACATGGCAGCAGAAGTATGCACGTTGTTTTTCAAGTATGAAAAGGCCTTTTCCTTGTGGCTGGAGCCTCACATGCTAATTTGCCAGCCTCTAGACTTTGATCCTAGTCTAGCACAACTGCTGTAAGATCAAGAGCTGTGTTCCAGGTACCACAACATGAAGATGATGGAGAGCAGGGGTCACAGCAGCTGAGCTGGAGTATGTGAGTTGTGCTGGCATCAGCCTGCTGCAGATGAAGTTGTACATGATGATTACAGTTCTTGCAGAAAGGGAAAATTCAGAATTTTCATGGGACCCAAGCATTTAATTCAACAGGAGGATTGGCCTGCCCTTCCCTGGTGCCAGTTTTGTTGTCCTCTTAAAAGAGCTGTCATTGAAATATAACATCCTCCTCTTAAATACCAGCAGAAGTTCTCCTGCCTGCATTTCCAGCTGGCCACAGCTGGGCTACTCTGCAGCTGGCAGCTCAAATGGGACTTTTTTGGAACTTGGGTTAGCCAATTCCCATGAGAACATAGCATATATATATTTCCTAAACCAAGAACTGGGTTCTGTAAGCGATAAGTGTCTCTTGAGAGCCACACCGTAAGACTCAATCTGAAAAAAAATGAAAAAAAAAAAAATCTTGCACCACAAAAAATGTTGATAGCAAATCTAAGATTCATCCTTTGCACTCTGGATCCGGAGCCTGTCAAGATTTCAGACTTTGTTTATAGAAACATTGATGTCTTATTTGCTGTTCCACACTGCATGATTATATGTTTGCAGAATTGTACCAATGAATTTCTAAAATCAAACTCCAAGCTAGATTTTTCTCTTGCTTGAGAAAGTATCTGCTCTTTTCATGGTGTAATGACTGTGATGTTGATTGTTAACTTCAGTGCTGGGTGCTGAGGAGAGGATGAAGGGAGTAATAAAAAGGTATAAAGGCCTTCATGAATTGGTGTTGAAAACTGTTAAGGATAGAAATAAAGATGGATCAGTTAAACAGATTTTTTCCAGGAGTTTTACCCTTTGAGTTAATCAGAGGAAACTTAATATTGCAAAAAAAATCTGGTATCCCTTGCACTTCCTTATTTTTAAGAAAGTAACAAGGATAATTTAAAGCCTTTTAAAATAAGTTTATTGATAAATATTAGTTCTTCATGGTTTCTATCATGCTTTCTTTGCCTCAGATGGAACAAAGCAAATGACACTTGATGACAGTTTTTCTAGCTGATCATAACATAAAGGCATCCAAATTTCACACATTGGTTAGTTATTCCACAATATATTCAGTAGCACCATTCATTATTCACTATTACCTTTATATCATGGTAATTACAGTGTCAGCTGAGTAGTCTAATTGTCTATTACACTTAAAATCTTGAAAAAATCATGCTCTAATGTATTGTAAGAATACTGTATGCCAAGTCAACCCTATAGTTTGCAGACATTTCTGACATATCCATGTACTACAAAACTATTGCTCTTATTTCTGTAATGTAAGAGATGAAACAGAACTTTAAGTGTACAGTGACCTAACATTTATCGGGTCTGAGATTTTACATCCATGCATCTCGCCAAGTAATTAGCAAGACTTATATCTAGGTCTCCAGAAAACATTATTCATTTCTACTTGTTTACATAAGAAGCAATTATTGCCATACCCTCCCCTGGTGAGCAGTAATACCTTGCTTCAAGAAAAAAATTAATGCTGTTTCTGTGTTAACATCCTATTCTGGAAGAAAATGGAGCTGACTCAGTGCAGGCAGTCGAGCTCTCAGAACTGTCTTCCAGGAGCAAAACAGGTTATGTGAGAACATGACCTTGGTGAGCTGTGCTAATGACTGTGATTTAAAACGCCAGGCTTTTGTCTCAAGTAGAGAACTAAACAAGACAAATGCGTTTAAAACAGCACAGATTGTGCTAAACAACATGTAGATACAGTTAAAAAAAATATTACAATTAGTATCTGGGTAATCTCTAGCTATGGTATGTTCAGTTTTTCCCAAGAGGGCATGTGTGGAAACTTGTACTAAACCCACAAAGTTTGTGTTTGTGGGTGGTCTCCCTGTGAATACCTGTAGTGTGGTGGTGTCAGGTGACACCTGGGCTGCTCGGGAATGCAGTGGTCATGGTACTGAGCACATTGGCCCATAACTGGCTGGCAAAGACCAACCCCAAACGTATTTTGTGAGTGATTTGTAGTTTGAGAGGATAAATTCACGTTCATCACCTTCTTGCCAAAGGATCTCTGTTTGGACTGGGGTTAGAACTTCTTGGCATGGGTTGTCTCAGGAAGGTCCGGCGTACAGTATTCAGGAGCAAATGCTCCTTGTGTTCCAGATGGACCACCCTTTCGGGATTTAAGAGTTCTTTGAATTATGGTGTTCTCCTGTGAATGTAATAGCGTTTTAGTCTCCTATGGGAAAGACTTAGGGGAGCTATCCCTTAAAAATATTCTCAGCACATGCAAAGCATTGGTTGTTTCAAATTTTTACATACATTTGCATATATTCTACTTTCATTTCTTAGAAACGCTCATGTCTTTGAAATATCAGAGGAGTGAAGAGGTACAGAATGCAGCGTCTGGAAGAAAACACATATGTTCTATTAGCTGATAAGTAATCATTTTGCAGTGATGCAGATCATGAGGTGTAGCCATTCTCTTGGTGTGTTGTTAAGCAAGTGTGGTTTTAATCTCCCTGAAGCATGAACTGTCTTCCTTAATCTTAATCCTTCTAATCCTTAGACCTTTCCTGTGTCAGGTGAGGGTGAATGCTCTAAGTGCTCCCAGCTACCACTGGCCTAGTTTCCCTAAACCCAGACCACCCTATTTCTGAACTCAGTGTTGTATCACTTTAATCATCAAAGAGATCACATTGTCTTCAGTTATTTATGCCTTCGTAGATTTACTTCAGAATAATGCCAAGACGTAGGAGGATTATAAAATACTTTCATTATTGCATCTTCAGCTCTGAATTCCTGAATGACACTTTACTCCTAAGTTCTTCTGCCTTTATGCTATGCATATATTCTTTTTATTTTCTGATTGTACTTGTTCCTTCAAGCTCTCAGTTCTCTGTGCTTTCTAATATGTTTTCTAGGATGTTTTTATGGTATAGAATGAACATTAATGTATGTAAGTGTATTAGTATTTAATTTAGAATTTTTTTTTCTTTGGGTTTTCCTTTTTTTTTTTTTTTAAATCAGTGATCTCTTTCTCTAGCATTGCAGTGGGATAGCCTTGAAATGTATTGAATTTTGCAATTACTATTATTGAACTATTGAATTTGGCAATTACTTTACTTAACACACAATTACTTTCTTAAGCATACAAGCCCTAGCTGCCAGAGAAGTCCTATTTCATTG